ATTTTGTGTATAGTTATGGGGAGTTGTACCAGAGCAAGGAGTGCTTTAGCTTAGAATTGCCCAGCATAGTGGTCTTGCATGTTTTTATAAAAAGATGTATTTTTGGTTTCTGAAGGAGATAAGGATCAAGAATGCCACACTATACAGTGCTGTGCAGCTGTGGCAACTTGTGACAGCAATGCAGCATTTTAAAAACAGAACTTTGTTATCACTGTCCTGTCTCTCACCTGGACACCCAGCTCCTTGGATGCTATCCCACAAGCAGTTCCATTCACCTCAGTAAAACAATGGATGTGAGGATTGCAAGACTGGGCCTGACATTTGGAAGCAAGAATGCTCAGAACACATGGAGCTTTGGCAAGTCAGTGACAGAGAACAGGTTTTAGTCAAAGTGTAAGTGAAAACACAGCCCACTTGATCTTCTGATTGTGTCGTCCCTTAACATTGACAATTCCTGACAAAGTTAACCACTTTAATGAGGCCAAGTGAAAATTTGGCATGAAACAACGATAACAGTGCCCTCCTACATCAAATGTTGCTAATACTTTATGGTAATTATCACAATCATAAATTGGTACTTTACAATCTGTCTTAGCAAACATTCAACTGAAAAGCAAAAATCAGTATCTTAAATCCAGATGGTTTTCTGACTGAGGAATGCACAATTAGATGTTGTTCTAGATGTGAGCAAAGCCTTTGACACTGTTTCCCATGGAATTCTTCTAGAAAACACCTGGCTGCTTGTGGCTTGGACTGGTACACTCTTCACTGGAGCTGGGAAAGGGTCTGGAACAAGAGCCCTGTGACAGGACAGCTGGGGAAGATGAGGGTGCTTAGTCTGAAGAAAAGGAACCTCAGGGGCAACCTTAACATTCTCTACAACTACCTAAAAGGAAATTGTAGGGGAGGTTGGTCTCTTCTCCCAAGTAACGAGCAACAGGACAATAGGATAAGGCATCAAGTTGCAACAGGAGAGATTTATATTGATATTAGGAAAAATTTCTTCACTGGAAGGATTTTTAAGCACTGAAATTGGCTGCTTGTGGCTGAGTCACCATTCTTGGAGGTATTTAAGAGTTGTGATGTGGTGCTTAGGAACATAATTTAGTAGTGGACTTGACAGTTGGACTTGATCTTAATGGTCTTTTCCAACCTAAAAGATTCTATGATTCTAATTATTACTCTCTGATGGTCCAATTCTGCCACCTTCAAGACTTATTGAGGAAAGGAGTGGTATTGATACTGTTTTCAAATAACCATGATTTTTTTTTTTCTGTCACATCTATGATGATTTACAGAATCATACACAATACACAAAATCTGATTTAAGGCCCTCTCTCTATGCATCTTCTATCAAGCTCAGTGTATCATATTCTTGGCAGCCCCATATCTTTCCCATTGTGCTTATATCAAAAATCTTGCCTTCAGGAGACCTTAGCAGGTAAAGTCTGTCCCCTGTTCCAAAACAAACTTACACATAGCTATCAATATTTATAAAATATTTCTTCCAGTAATAATGAAAAACAAACAAACTGAAAATGAACCCTCTTCAATCTTTTAAAGCAATCTCTTCCTGTGTGTTTTAGAATCCCTTTCATAATGGCAGCAAGTCCTCCATTATGGAAAGTGGTTTTGTCCTTTCTGCTCCCTCACAGCTCTGTGTTGTATGTAAATTTAGGCTGTGATTAGAGTTGAGCTTTCATTAAGCTAAAGATACCATTTCCTCCTAGGCTGTGTGTCCTGAGCCTTCAACCCTTCTTACAGCCTCTTGCATTGTGCCATTGTTCCATTTTGAATAAAACACCACTCCAAAAACTTGGCAGTACCTCCTCAGAGACCCAACCAGCGCTGAGCATGACTGGAGGAGTCCAGGATGACTTCCTATATCTGCAGACTCTGCTATTGTTTATGCAGACCAAAGGGTGATGACCTTTATTGCAATATTGTGACATTGTAGACTCATGTTAAGCTTGTTAATCACTGCAATCTCACAATTTCTTCATGCATAGTGATCTGGAATTCCAAAGGGTAACAACACAGATATAGGAAGGCAGCAGCCTGTGCAACAACTGGCCCAAAAGGATGTTTGTCCTGTCTGGCCAGGAGCAGGGAAGGCAGGGAAAGATGTGTATCTTCCAGAACTGCTGGCTGGACAACTCTTGTGTGTATTCTTGCCTTAGGTCTGCCATGGGGTGTGTTTGTGGTGCACTGCCAGGCTGAGCAGAGAGTGAGGGAGATGTGAGAAACATTCAGGTGAGTTGTAGAAGGAGAGCATAGGAGCAATATGTGTAGAAGAAAGATTGCCAGTTGTTGGTAAACTGTGGTCTTTTTGACTGTGGTCTTTCTTGATCAAATTCTGATAAACATCTCTTCAAATTTCATTTTTCATAGCAAATGTTCTGCTCTGACCAAGGGGATCTGGTTTGAGAGGTCAGGTTACCTTAAAGAAAAAAACCTGTATAATTCTATGCACAGTCCACGGAGAAGCCAGGAGCTTGAGGAGGTATCTAGAGGTATATAGAACAAGCAGTTCTACAGCAGCAGCTGTTGCAGGAAGCTGAGAACAGCTGCTCTATTGCTGACATTTTAATCTAACCTGCCCTGACTTTTTCTTTTTTTTCTTAATGTATCTTTCTGTCATCCACTGAACAGTTATTTGCTCCTTGAACAGTCTTAGTAATCCCCAAATTTGGAGGAGCACCTGGGAGTTATTTTTTTGAGAAGGATAGCACAGTAGGAAGCATGATCACTATGAAAATGAAGCTTAGCTTCACTTTTTTCTGAGAGACACAGTCCTTTTTGTGAGGAAGAGGCCTGACTTCTTAAAGAATAAATATGACAGTCTGTAAAAAAACACTGCTCAGAAACTGTGTATTCACCTTTAGGTGAGATGCTTTCTGGAAGGAAAGAAGAATAATTTTCTGGCTTTTTTTTCTGCTCGTGGCAACTTTTTTAGTGTATGGACATATAGATTTGCCCATACTTTGAAAAATGTTAGGGCTGGATACTCTTGAGTCACACACATTGTGTGCATGCAGGTTCTACTCCTTAATCCTTAATTAAAAATCATCAAGAGAGGCTCCAGATATTCATCTGGGGAATGCATAAAATTCTATAGGAACTGGATTTTGTTGGACATTTCAGAATATTAGGAAAAAAGTAGCAATTCTACATAGAACTGGTATATGTGTATCTTTGCTTACAAGGCCAAAATGGTGCAATAAGCACTAATCCTGAGCAAAGGACGAAAACCAGAGAAAAGGGAAAAAAAAATCTGTATTCCAACAATTGTCCTCTAAGCTAGAGGAGTGGGAGCATATGTGATGCAGGTAGTTCATTGCTCTGGCCCTTCATGGAGATGCAGTGATTTCTGCAATTAAAAAAAAAATTATGTATTGAAGGGCTGAGGCAACATTGGTAGCAAGTCCAGCCTAGAATAAGCCCTAAGTTTGCTAACACAAGTGACAACTGAAAAGAGAACAGTATGTTCCATCATTTTCCAACAGATTACTTACAATGAGGAAAATACTCTTTCACATTTTTAAGAAATAATGACGCTATTTCAAGAGTCAATTCGAAGCTATCCATGAAGAAGAACAAGAGGCATCAGGTGCCATTTCTTGTGAGCTGTGATTGGACCTGTGATGGTCAATAATGACAAATGGCCAGAGGAAGATGAAATTCCCAAACACATTACCAAGGCCCATCTCAGCAGAGTCTTGATGTATTGTAACACTTTCCAGCCAATGCACACATCTTCTTTTACTCTTTGGCAGCTCTCCAGAGGGTTTTTTTTCTTTTGGGTCAATAACACACAATTGCAGCCACTTCAGAACCCAGCTGCAAGGGTGGTGCTCTGTCAGGGCACCCACAGCCTGGGCCTATGTGTCACCTCCAGGCATTGCTGCCTGTGGCATCTGTGGCTCCACAGGGCTTTTTGAACACTCGGGAAGGGGAAGCTGTCCCACTAGTGGGATGTTTGTGCCAGTCCTGACTTTCCAGCAGGATGTGGGCAGCTGTGGGTGGTTCATGGCATGGCACAGGGGAGCATAGTTCATCCACTCCACTGTAGCACTGTAACCCCTAAACCGCATCACTCAGCGCCAGATCTAGATGTCTCAAACGCCTGCAAGAATGGCAACCCCCAGCTTCCCTGGCTAACCTAATCCAATGTCTGAGCACCCTAAAAAAACCTCAATCATCTCCGCCTGATCTTAAGGCCATTTTCCCTAGCCCTCTCACTGTAGGCATGGGGAGATGAAACTGGCCCCCACATCACTACAATCTCTTTTCAGGTAGAAAATGCTTCTTTACTGTGTCCAGTTCTGGGCTCCTCAGGACAGGAGAGGCATGGAGCTCCTGAAGCAGGTCCAGTAGAAGATAATGAGGATAAGTGGGGGACTGGAGCATCTCTCTTATGAGAAAGGCTGAGGCCTGTTCAGGTTCAAGAGACAACTGAGAGGGACATCATTAATGGATAATCTAAAAGGGGGTTTGTCAGAACATGGACCAGACTCTGCTTGATGGTGCCCAACAGCGGGACAGGAAGCAAGGGGAAGAAACTGATGGTCAGAACTTCCACCTGAGCATGAGGAAGAACTTCACTGTGCAATGACCGAGCACTGGGAGAGAGTATGGGACATATTCCAGAGTCATATGGCAACAACCTTGTGCCATGTGCTCTGGGTCGAGCAGGGAGGCTGGACCTGGTGGGTCCCACTCCCGCAGTGCCGGGGCGCGGCGCACGCCGCTCCCGCCGCCTCCGAGCTCCGGAGCGGACCGGACCGGGCCGGGCCGGGCCGGGCCCGGCGCTCGGTGCCGTTGGGGCGGCCGCGGGAGGCGTGCCCGCGTGACGGCGGTGGGTGTGCGGGGCCGGAGGGGCCGCGCCGGGGCTGCCCGCGGGTGGGCGGCAGCGGTGTCCCCCCTGCGCCGCACGCAGCGCCGGGCAGCGGGCACGCCATTGGGAGCCGGCCATTGGGAGCACGCCGGTGCCCGCCTCCCCGCCTGCCTCCCTGCCGCCGGGGGTGTGTGACGGGCGGGCAGGGCGAGCGCGTCACGCCGCCCGCGCTCCGCCTCCCGCTCCTGATCCCGGCCCGGCGCGGGCAGGCGCGCACGGCGCAGCCATGGAGCCGGAGTGCCGGGTGCTCTCCATCCAGAGCCACGTCGTCCGCGGCTACGTGGGCAACAAGGCGGCCACCTTCCCCCTGCAGGTGAGCGGGCGCGGACCTGCTCCTCCTTCTCCTCCTTCTCCTCTCCCTCCGCCGCTGTTCCCTGCGCGGCGGCGTGACGGCAGCGCTGCCCGGGCGAGCTCCGGCGCCCAAGCGGCTCCTGCCAAGCCGGGGTAAGGTAAGGGCACGGCGGGGAGATGCCCGCAAGGGCGCCCTCCCCGCCCGCCCCGGTGCCGGCGGCAGTGCCCGTCCCGGGGCTCCGCGCACGCTGCGGCCGCCTCCCGTTAACGCAGCTCCTCCCGGGGCTGTGGCACGGCGAGCTGTGCCGGCGGAGGGCGAGCCGGGGTGCTGCCCGTGGGTTTGCTGGGCTCCGCTGCCGCCCGCAGGCGCACCCGGCCGGGGCTCCTGCCCCTGAAGGAAGGGTCATGGCCGTGTCCCGTGCGGGGACAGCGGTGTCCTTGTGCTGGCGCCCAGCTGAACCCCGCCTGCCCCTGGGGGCGATGCCCCAGCCCGGATGGTCTGGGGAGGCTGTAGTGAGGTGTAGGGGGCACTTAATGCGTGTGCAAGGCGGAGAAGCTGTCTGACATGGCCCCGGGCTCGAGGGTGTAATTGGATCTTGGCCTTCGTGGCTGTCATGTTGTTTGCTTGGATTTCGCCGGTGGTGGGAAAACATTGAGCGAACCTTTGCACATCGCACTGTTGGCTCTTGTGGAGGGTCTGTATCCCAAAAGGGTAATTTGGGGCCTGCCCATCAGGAGGGCTTTGTGCCTTTACACAGCCTGTCTGTATGGAGCTCTCTTAAGAACCTCGTTACCAGTACACGTTGTGTTGTGACGTTGGTTGTCTTGCTGTGTGCTTAAAAATGGTGTAACTCATTTGATTAGACAGGAGAGATTATGTACTCTGATAAATGATGCAGGTGAGATCAGGCCTGCAACAAGCCACTTCACACCCCCATGTCACCATCCAGTTATAATGTGACCAAGTCTCTTGAAAATTAATGGATGATGAAGGGTGATGTATGTGTGTAATACCAGTATTGTGGAAAAATACCAGTATGTACAGCTCCAGGCCAAAAAGGTGGTCATGAACTGCGGGCCACCTGTGCTTCCTCTCCTAACAAAATGATCTCAAAATTGTGCTTCTCCCTTTAATTTCTGTGTAGCAGAAGAGAACACAGTAGTACTTATTCCAGAAATCTCCAGTCTCTTAAACTGTTCTCTCCATTCTAATTCTCTGTCAAAGGTTTTCTTTACGTGTCTGTAGCTTAACCTTTTTGTGGCATGTGAGCTGTGTAACTTGGCAAATGGGTTCCTGGAAAGTGTTTTTATTGGCTATGATGGTATAAAATACTACTGGCATTAAAAAAACCCTGTTGATGGTATAGCTGGGTTTTGTTCAGGGAGCAGTTGCACTCACACTGTGTAATATTCCTCAGTGTATAGTGTAACAAGTAGTTTCTGGAGTGGGAGGAAAAGAAATTTACTTGGGGAGCAGCCAAACTCCTGCCATTACTGGCTGCACTTGCAAATCCTACGTAGGCAGCCCTTAGAGAAGCTGTGCTTGTTGGAAAGTTACCTAAACCCTTGTTTTGCTAGAACATCAGATGGGGCAAGGTGCCCCAACGTGAAACTTCGCTTTTCTTTATGAAAAGAATTACAAACCTGGAGTCTTTCTCTTATATTGTTTGTATATAGCCATGAAAATGATAACCTGTATCTGTTCTGGAGGATGGGTGCAAATCTGGCATGCTTTTATTTTTATTTCCCATTCTCCTTTTTTTACTTTAGTTTTCTGAACCAGTTAAGTGAGGCTCCCTTTGGAGCTCATCAGCGCTGAGTTTGCAAGGCAGGGTGTATGTAGATATGTGTATGTGTGTGCTTGTGAGGTTTAATGGGCTGAAATCCTGATGCAGCAGTTCAGGAATCTGAATTTTGGACAGCAGCATCCAAATAGAAAACCTGGCATGGTTTCACCTGCTCTTTGCAGACTTATCCAAAAAACACCACTTGTGTTTGCATGACCTGATCTTTGGTGCAAATCTGTGACATTAGTATCAATAGCAATCTGCACAGAAGAGAATTATTTAAGATCTTCTTTTAATCAGTTAGTTGCATTTTGTCAGGCTTCCACTAGAGTAAAAGCTCAAGTATTTAAAATGTAGGTATGTGGGACAACCTCCTCTGTGGAATGTGTTGTAAATGCTTTCTATATGGCAAACACAGCAAAACAGAGTTAGATCATATATTAGAGCAGTTATAATAACGGAAATAATAGAGCTAAGGGAGAACTATTAGAACTCTTTACATCATTTCAGGTTAAAATACATTTAAGTAATTAGACAGTCTAGATTAACTAATAGTCATAGAGGAAATGTGCACCTGGGTTTGCCAGAGAGTGAACTGCCCTCAGCTCTGATTTGAATTCTGCCTTGTTAAGAGTTTAAATAGTTTCTACTTGCATGATCTTACTATCTCTTTAAAAAGTTCTGCAGGTAGTTCTGAATTATTTTTAGAATAGTCTTAAGTTATTCCACATCTGTGTATTCTGAGCTTTCAGTATCAGGAGGAGGTTCAGGATTGTTCAGCATTTCAGAGAGTAAGAGCAGTAGGGTGTACATTAATTTGGGGAGTTGCCATTGGGAGTCAGATAAGTTACTTTAAAACACAAAAAAAAGTTTCTAAGTTTCTAAATGTGTCTAATGTTGATTAAGATTTATCATAGCTTTTATTATTGTCACTATGACATTCAACTTCACTTTTATTGTATGTGGTTTTTGTTTCCTTAGAGATATCTCTTACCTGTTAATTTTAAGTATAATTTCGTCTTGCCCTTCCTGCCCCACCTTTTAGGTATGCAGAATGTGGCAATAAGTAAAGGGAGCAGAACTGGCAGGTAGAGAGTTACAGTCCTTCTCAAACCACAGAGAATCCAGAAGGACAAGGTGATTTCTCCTCTGCAGAGGTGCCTCATTCTGACCAACAGGAAAACTTTGGTAGGCAGAGGAATTTAAGATTCATATACTGCACCCATTGTAAAATCAGGTTTTGGGAGTCAGTGTGTCAGTCATTGTGCCCAGTTCCTGGGGCCTCCGTGAGCTTCTAAGAAAGAATTTTGAAAGTATAAAGACGGAGCATGAGAAAATCCCAGCCAGTTTTACCTGGATACTGGACATTTGCATTTGGTTGCCACTGGAATAGTTCATACCCCTGTCTGCAAACCAAAAAATATTGACCTTTGCGTATGTCTCAGTAGCACTGATGGTTTGGGGTGGTTTTGTTTGTTTGTTCGTTTGTTTTGTCTGCTTAACACTCATAGAATTTGACAAAATCATGCCTCTGTTTTGAGTATTTAATTCCTGACTTCCTTTTATATCTGCTTACCTTAAAGAGGGAGCTAAAAGCTGAGACAAACACCATTAATTATTTGTATCTGGGGAATGAAATTGTCTGTCCTAAACTGTAGAAACATAAACAGTTTATACAATGTGGGATTAAATGGCCTTTTGAAATCTATTCAATTATTTTATTTTCCTTTTAACTTTTTTCCCTCCTGCTAAATGGAGATAATTGTACAGATATTCAAAAGGACTGATGATTCTCAGGCTAATTCTCCTTTTGAAAGAAATAGTAAGTCTACATTTTTAGCTCCTTCTTAATTGTAAAAAAGATGGGAAAGCAACTTTGGTCAGCACAGTGATAATTTCTTTGATATTTACAGATAGTCTTGAACTGTTTTGTCCAGTATATGCCGAGATCAAAACCAGTATCAGTAAATCTTTGCTAAGTATCTACTGCCTTAGCAAAAAAAGTTTAAGATTTTTTTTTCTTTTTTTTTTTTTTTGAAAAGTATAGTCAAATGGCTTAAAGATTGTGTGGAAAGATAAAGTGCAGCTCTTATTTAAGATGACTCTTTTTCTTTTTCAAACCCTGCTATTGTGTTAATAGTATGAGTCAGAAGAAGGATGAATCAATCAAAAGTCTTTACAGAGTAACAATAAGAAATGTTTTTACTGGGTAGCCTTTATTTCTGTTACAGATCAAAGGCTGAAAAAGCCTGAACATTAAACAAAAAATAAATACAAAGATGAAAGAATTCATTCGGTCTTTGTAGTACCTAAAGATTGTCCAAAATTGCGTATCTGAAACATCTTACTGCTCTAGAACCGTACTTCAAATGAAGCTTGTGGAAGCATGCTTTTTCCCCCTGACTTTGTTCTTTTAAGAAAGGTAGATAAAGCGTAAATTAATTAAAGAAAAACCAACCCAAGAGATAAAAAAATTGACAACCCCTCTGGTGTGGCTTGTTCAAAGCTGTGTAAAGAGCATTTGCTTCTTAGGTGGATGTCAGCACAAGCAGCTGCACAGCTCTGGTGAATACCTTGCACAAGGTGAAGCCCTGAAAAAGACTTGTAATCCAAAAAGTCCAAGGAGGTGGCTCCCCCCGCCTGGCAGTGTAGATTTCTGGAGAAAGACTTTACCAGACCTTTCCAGAAGTGCTTTTCCAGATTAACCCAGCTCAGGTGCACTTGAGAGTACCTTGAACCTCTGTGAAGATTGCAGGAGAGGGACTTTCCACCTGCATGGTAAACTGGGAGGGAAGCCAAGTGGGACAGGACTGGGAGGGGATAAGAAAGTAGATTATTACTCAAAATACAACAAGAACAAGGGGTGTCTGTGTTAATTTCCCTTCCTAACATTGCTTTGAGATAGATTAGACTGAAGCTGCTGGGGTCTCACTTTTACCTAACAATAGGAGTTTATGTTTGTGCACAGCTCTAGACAAAGAGACCTCAATTTTCTCTTTGTACTCCTAATGGAATCTTTTCAGCAGCTAATGCAAAATAATCAGCTTGAAAAATTAGAGTCATTTCAACCTGCCTAAAAGAAGTGCAGCCGGGGCTGCAGATGTGCTGGGGACTCTGAATGGATGGGCAGAGCCTCTGATGAACAGAGAGTGGGACTGACTGAACCATCCTCATCCAGGGTCAGGTCTGTGTGGTTTTGTGTTTCTGACTGTTCCTGCAAGTCACTCAGTAGTGG